ACATTCTTTGCGTCAATTGAATTTTGTACGGGAACAAATGCAAATCAATGCGAATAATCCGTTGTAAATTGGACCGAGCCATGCCCAACTGCTGAGAACGGCGTTTTTGGGATGTTCTTTGGGACCTCTCAACACTGGCTCGTACGGCAGCGATATTCTCTGCCGGTCGCCTTGGTCGACTTTTATATGGCCTCTTCGGATTAGAAAGAGCCTTACCAGTCGAAATTTTTTCGTATAAACGCTTAATGGTGTTTTTAGAAGGCGCACTTCTCACATTTTTTAATGTTTTAAAAGCACGTTGAGTTTTCACAATTGACTTCTTCTGTTGAATGTAAATTTCAACTATTTCAGAGCGCTCGCGTGCCGTGTATTGGTTCATGGTAAAAATCTGCTTGGACTGACGCTTCAAACGCGGTATGTCATTAAGCGATGTGACATCTCTGTCAAAGTTATGACGTTGCCAGATGGGTCCGTCGAATATGGACAACCCTGTATGGGAGCAATCGGTTGAATTTCGAAAATTCACTCCATTTGGGCTAATGTTAGCTATTTGGTGCACAATAAACTTGAAATCGAATAATGATATGTATGGAGGCTATATCCATGTAATCTGAGCCGATCTTCATAAAATTGAAAACAGCTATATATTGGCTGCATTTGATATCTGGTACCAAATATTATTCCTGTATCGTGCACCAAATTTGAAGTACTTATTTCTATACTAAATTCGGTCTGAAGTGCCAAAATTTACACCATTTGGACCGTTATTAGCCACAAGAAATCTAAAAAAATCAAAATATCAGTCTCGTGGAGTGCATATTACGAATGTGAGGGAATAAAAAATTTGGAATGGAACAAATATATGGGAGCTATAGCTATATCCGAACCGATTTTCACCAAATTTAAAGCATATGCTGGTAGGCTGAATTCGGACAGATGTAGCAAAATTCACACCATTTGGACTGATATTCGCCATTTGGTGCAGAAGAAACCTAATATCGGATGAAGATATATATGGGAGCTATAGCTATATCTCAACCGATGTTCACCAAATTTGAAGTACATGCTTGTAGTCTGAATTCGGACAGATGTAGCAAAATTCATACCATTTGGACTGATATTAGAAACCTAAAATCGGATGAAGATATATATGGGAGCTATATCTAAATTTGGGCCGATTTTCACCAATTTCAATAGGGTTCGTCCCTGAGCCAAACAAATGTTATTTAAAAAATTTCATCTTAATCGAATAATAAATGCGACCTTCATTTTGTTTACAAAAATACATGGACGGATGGACGAACATGCATAAATCGACTCAAAATGTAAATCTATGCTGATCACCAAAAGGAACTATGGGTCTATCTCGTTTTCTTCTCCATGTTACAAACAAATGCACAAAAACATAATACCCTTACCACTAGTGATATAGGGTATGATTATAAGGAATCTTAATAGGTAAGACATCGATGCAGTTCAAACTTCTCATATTGTAATATGTGTGACAAATCTGGGACATGTTCGACAATGACGATATTTGCCCCATTTTTTTGGGCACATATACAAAATGATTTTTATACCCTCAACACCTCCAAATATTCGTCGGTGTTCCATATTTTGAAGGTTTCTCCCACATTGTCCTACCAAATAAATTCATAGCATGGGTTTCGCTATTTGGGTTAATATACCCTCAGCCATATGGCTGAATCTAAAACCTGCCTCATCGAAATGACGGTTTTAGAGCCTAGCTCTGTTTCAGGGCATTTGGAGTCGATCTAGGGATGTCCGTCTGTCTGTCAGCATATCCGTCTGTCTGGCTGGTGCGCACGATTACACTCGCAGGAAGTATCCGATTTGGTCCAAACTTGGTACATCGTAATATTATTATAAAATTTAGATCGACTCCGGAGATGGGCAATATCGGTCCTCTCCTTCTGGTATCACCCCCACCAAAGGTCGAAATTTAACAAAAAGCTAGTTAAAAAGTATCAATCGTTTTTGTCGACAGATGTATACCCCGAACCAATGTTCGATTGTATTAAATATATTATGATTTCAAATCAAAATAGAAAAAATGTAGGAAATACCATCAAATTTTAAAATAAGTTTAGATTTGTTCGAATTGCTCACCTTTGGTACGAATTATGACCTTCAAACGCCCAATGAAACCGTCACACGCTGCCCAAATGTTGCTCTGCGATATTTTGGCCTATTTCCCGCGAAGCGCTTGATTGAGGTGATCGACACTTTGGAATCTTTTAGCGCCAAACTTTTTTCCGAAATACTCCAGACACAATAGTCCAACGGATTGGCACCCGGATATTTTGGTGGCCATTGTGCGCTGAAATTGAAGCGAGGAACCTCATTTTTTAACCATTCCTGTGTGGCGCGTGCTGAGTGCGATGGCGCTGAGTCCAGTTGTAATGTCCAAGGTCTGCGCCCAACATGTTTGCCAAGGCTTTAATACACCCTCCAGAATATTTTCGCGATAATATTCAGCATTTATTCTGATGCCACGGACGATTAATATGAGCGGAGAGCGACCATCGGCTGTTATGGCGGCGCACACCATCACCATGACCGACGCTTGAATTCTGGTGGCCAACCGAAGGTGCCAATTTTCAGCTGACCTCTTTGACAAGTAGACACGATAATTTTGTTTGTTTACAAACTGCTAGACAACAAATGTTTTCTCATCGGAAGAAACCAAATTCGACATTTCACCACTTTCGGCCAAGCGAAGCAACTCAATGGCTTAATCCCGAGCTCATTTTTCAATATTTGCCGAATGGAATATTGCGATATGTGCAGCTCACGAGCCATTTTTCGGCCACTACGACGCGGGTTTCGATCAAGTCGCTTCTTTTCTTTTCTAACCATTTATGCTGATGTTGTGGTTTTTTCCGTCAAATTCCTTGTCGTCGGGCTACGCTACCAGTCTCACGATAACGTGCGATGGTACGAGACCCAACAAATTTATTCACATTTAAATGCTGGAGTGCTCTAACGATAGCCACTTGTGGTTTTCCAGCCAAATATAGAGAAATCACACTATCACGCTTGAATTCCATCACGAATAACTTTTTTGCTGGAAAATTCTCACCAAAATGCTTTTGTACGATTGTAAATAATATAATAAGCTGTCACTGGAATAATTTTAACAGATGTCGAGCGAGTGGCTTGGAAATAACAACAGTCTGATTTTGGTTGCAGTTTTTTCATCTTACCCTGTATAACATATTAAATTTCTCCTCCGCAGCCATAATGTACACTCTATAAAAACGATACTCGGATAAATGAATTGAATACATCTAAGAAATTATTTAGTAAAATTTTATCGAGATCGGCTCAAATTTGGATAGATCTCCCATATAAATCTTTGCTCGATTTCAAGTTTATTTGTCACCAAATGTTTATTAAAACCAGAATTAAATGGATTTTGGCACAAACTAACGAATTTTGCCAGGAAGAAAGTATATGAAATTTCATGAAAATCGGTTAAGAAATAGCTAAATGTCCAATATATATGTTTCTTCTGAGTTTGTATTTTACACCTTCACACCCTAAAAATACTCTCCACAACAACGATATTTCGTGCCAAATAACAAATATAGCATAGAAATGCCTAGCTCTACTATATATGAAAAGTTGTGTAGGGTATCATAAAGTCCAGCCCAACCCGACTTCGGTCTTTCTTTACTGTACTTTTTTTAATTTTTAATTCTATCCGTTCATATTATGCCAAGTTTGATCATTTTAGAACTTTTGGTAATCTTAAAGTTCGAATTTCCAAAAAAAAAAAAAAAAAAAAAAAAACCTTTGGTACATTTATGCACTCCATCATTGACTCTTATTCCAAATTCTAGGAATTCTAGCTTCCATTTGTCCAACACAAAAGTATTAAATTTTTAGTAAATTTTTGTACTTTCACTCACGAATTTCTAGAATCCCAGCTATTTGACATCCTACACACCGTGACTGATTCTCGTAAAAATTTTCAAGATTCTGACTTCAACCGTTTCTTCTCGGCATTGGTTTTGGTCAGTTATGTATATATATAACAAGATATCTGTTTTTGGGAATTATCTTTATAATTTCGTACCCCATTCTCGTAAAATGGAAAATTCTAAAAAATTTTCAGTAGTAGTTCCATTCTGATATTCTCAACCACACACCAATTTGCGTGTTTTAAAAATTATTGCTGCATTTTTCAATCGAAGATACTTTTACGACCGGATGCTCAATACGATTTTTTTAAGTTTCGCACTTGAATATTGTCATGACAAATGTTACCTATGCAGTCAATGTCGTCGTATAGACCCTAATATATTCGGAATTCAAGATTGTTTTTGAGAATTGACAACTTCGTTCCAAATGGTGGAGGGTATTCAAAGTTCGGCCCGGCCGAACTTACAGCTTTTTTCATTGTTTTAAACAAAACCAGGTTTCGGTTACATTATTCCTATACCCTACACCACATAGTGGTAAAGTTATTATGTCTTTGAGCATTTGATTGGAGAAGGAAGCGAGATAGATCCATATCCATAAGAATACCATCTCTTAAGTATCTCAGGATAATTTGACTATAATTTAATATTTTCCATAGTGCTGGATACACAGTTCGTCTCGTCCGAATATAGCATCGTCTTTTTCATTACTTTTTTTTCTCTTTCTTTATTTTTCCATTTCATATCCAATATTGAGTAATGTCCCAAGTTAATTAAAACTTTTGCCGTTGTCCTCGGCATGGTATTGCAACCCAAGAATATTAATTAATTAAAGAACATTTTCCCTTGGCAACTTCGATGAATGTGGCAAAGAGAGGAAGAATAGGGAGAAGTAGATGAAGAATATATGTATGGATGAATATTGCTTGGTTTGGTGCAAATAATATTGACAATTCCTATAAAAAAAAGGTTAACAATTTCCTTTAAATGTGTCCTTTATCGTCTTAATTTTTTATTCTTTTCTCCTTTTTGTTTTTTTACTGTTTCTTTCAGGTATGGCCATTTGTGATATGTTAACGGTAATATTTCCGGCTCCTGGTCTATGGTATATGTATTCGTTTGGCAACCACTATAAACCACTGCATCCGGTTTCACTTTGTTGGGCCTACAATATTTTCAATGAGGTAAGTTTTTTTTTCTTCCTTTGTTATGGGGTTTCCATGGCCAAGGAGAGTAAAACTTTTCCAGTTTTTATTCTTTTCGTTTTTTTTTTTGTGTGTTCAGTGTTGTGGAAAAGTTTAAGACTTTCATTCTTAATATTCTATAATAATATTAATTTTTTATGGTAGATGGACCTTAAGAAAAGTATTTTTTTGGGTATTAAAAAAATATCTCAAATTTATTTTTGTATTTAAAACAATCCAAGAAAAATATTTCCTTGGAAATTTCCTTCTCCCGGGTGAGAGAATAAATGGCCTGATAGATGGCAGATATTTGTTTGGTTGTCAAGTGATGAATCTAATTTAGATTGTTTACTTGTTTTGTGCTGCCCTGTTTGTTTTGCTATGTTTATTATTGTCAGATAATCACAAAATTTTCAATCTAACTTACACTTCCACTTCGGTGCCATTTAAATTTCTTCCAGTTATTCGAAAATTTACATAATTCAGTTTTCATATTTACTTGCCGTGAAATTAGTCAATTCAAAGAAAAGTGACTGGAATATGAAAATGTTTATTAGAATTTTAATTGAGTTATCTAGAGGCGTATTATTGTTGATGTAAATTATACGCCCCATGGTCGGCTTAGCTAAATAGTTACAAAGGCAACAAGTGTTATATTTTTTATTGGACAAATAAAATATTATTAGGTATAAAAAATATAATCATTAGATCCAAATTTGCGTTTTTTTTATCCCCCATAATATAAAGGGTGCAACAATTGTGTCGTTAATTGTGAAATTCTTGGAAATAATTAATAATAGCTCATAAATGAAAAATGTATAATTGTGGAATAGTAATTCTTATTTTCCACTCCACTTCAGAAGCGTGGCAGAACTTCACGTCGTATCAAGTGATATAAGGAGAAATTACATAATGTAAGAGACAGTATTGGAAACAACTTGTAAAAATAACCCGTTTTTATACCCTCCACCATCGTATGGAGGGTATATTAAGTTTATCATTCCGTTTGTAACACCTCGAAATATACATTTTAGACCCCACAAAGTATTTTATTCTTGATCAGCATAAAATTCTATGTCGATTTAACAATGTCCGTCCGTCTGTGGAAATCATTCTAACTTCCGAAAGAATTGAAGTAGATTGATAAAATTTCACTCAAATGTATGTTATGTCTGCAAGACTTTTGGTATTGATAATGGGCAATCCACGTCGTCGTATAGCCCCCATATAACGATACCTCCCGATATTCGGTATTTTGATCCTTTTAGCGACATTATTCACCGGAATTCTTTCAAATTTGGTATTTGATGTTCGTAATGGATACTACAGCCTAAGACCGAAAATTTTCTGTGCCGGTTCACGTCTTCGTATAGCCCCCATATAACGAAACCTCCCGATACCGATTTTTTTTTAAGTTTCGCATTTGAATATTGTAATGGCTCATGACAAATGTTACCTATGTAGTCCATGTCGTCGTATAGACCCTAATATATTCGGAATTCAAGATTTTTTTTTTGAGAATTGCCAAATTCGTTCCAAATGGTGGAGGTTATTCAAAGTTCGACCCGGCCGAACTGTCAGCTTTTTTTCATTGTTTTAAACAAAACCAGGTTTCGGTTACATTATTCCTATACCCTACACCACACAGTGGTAAGGTTATTATATCTTTGAGCATTTGATTGTAACATGTAGAAGGAAGCGAAATAGATCCATAGTTACTTTTGAAAATCCTCGAAGAATTACTTTTACTCGATTTATGCAAGTCAGTCTCCGTCTATCTGTCCATGTATTTTTGTGAAGAAAATGCAGGTTGCATTTAGTATCCAATTGAGATGAAATTTTCCAAAAAAAAAAAAAAAAACATTTGTTTCGCCAAGGAACCGAACCCTACTGAAATTGGTGAGAATCGGTTCAAATTTAGATATATCTCCCATACATATATCTTCAACCGATTTCGGTTATTTGGCACCAAAAGGCCAATATAAGTTCATATGACCTGAATTTTAGTACATCCAACCTAATTCAGAAAGTAGAAGACAGTGCTTAAAATTTGGTGAAAATCGGTTCGGACTTAGAAAATAAGTGCCTAAAATGTTGTCTAGATCGGTTCAGATTTTGATATAGCTCCCATATGTATCTTTATTCGATTTCAAGTTTTTTGTAATTCAAATCAGCCCAAATAGACTGAATTTTGGCACTTCCGACGGAATTCAGCTCAGAAGCTCCCATATATACAGGGTGAGATGAAAAAACTGCAACGAACTTCAGACTGCTGTCATTCTAAGCCACTCGTCCAACAGCTGTTTAAATTATTCCAGGTACAGCTCATTATATCGTTTACAAGCATACAAAAGCATTTTTGTGGGAATTTTCCAGAAAAAAAGTTATTCGTAATGGAATTCAAGCGTGATAGTGTGATTTCTTTATATTTGCCTAGAAAACCACAAGTGGCTATCGTTAGAGCACTCCAGCATTCAAATGTGAATAAATCTTTTGTATCTCGTACCATCGCTCGTTACTGTGGTACTGGTAACGTAGCCCGACTTCAAGGAAGTGGACGGAAGAAAACAGAAACATCACAAGAAATGGTTCGAAATGTGAAAAAAGAGACTTGATCGAAATCCGCTTTGCAGTGGCCAAAAAATGGCTCGTGAGCTGAACATATCGCAATATTCCATTCGGCAAATATTGAAAAAAAAGCTCTGGGTAAAGCCTTTGAAATTCCAAAAAGTGCAAGAACTTGCACAGCAACAGAAAGAAAATAGACTCAAAAGAGCTAAAAAGTTGCTTCGCTTAGCCAAATGTGGTGAACTGTGGAATTTGGTTTTCTACGATGAGAAAACATTCGTTGTCCAGCAGTTTGTAAACGAACAAAATGATCGTGTTTACTTGCCAAAGAGGTCAGTTGAAAATGTCCACCTTCGGTTGGCCACCAGAACTGAAGCTCCGGCCATGGTGATGGTGTGAGCCGCCATAACAGCCGATGGTCGCTCTCCGCTAGTATTAATCGATCGTGGCATCAGAATAAATGCCGAATATTAACGCGAAAATATTCTGGAGGGTGCATTAAAGCCTTGGGCACGCTAACATTGTGGCCGCAGACCTTGGACATTTCAACAGGACTTAGCACCATCGCACTCAGCAAGCGCCAATGGTTATAAAATGAGGTTCCTCGTTTCATTTCCAGCGCACAATGGCCACCAAATTCTCCGGATACCAATTCCGTTGGACTATTGTGTCTGGAGTATTTTGGAAAGCGAGGTTGGCACTAAAAAATATCATAGTGTCAATGACCTCAAGCAAAAGCTTCGCCGGAAATGGGCCAAAATAGCGCAGAGCAACATTCGAGCAGCGTGTGACGGTTACATTGGCGGTTTGAAGGCCATAATTCGTGCCAAAGGTAACCAATTCGCACAAATCTAAACTTATTGTTAAAGTTGATGCTATTTCCGACATTTTTTGCTCTAATTCAATAAAATATAAAAAAATTTAAAAATTATGACGTTGAACTTTGTTACAGTTTTTTTTTATCTCACCCTGTATATTTGTGTCATCCCTTTTGGGATTTTAAGTCCCTCACATGCATTGTATGCACTCCACAAGAATTTTATTTGATACCAGATAACTAATAAAGCTGAAAATACCTCTGTCTAATTTTATCGAGATCGGGTCAGATTAGGATATAGCTTCCATATATGTCCATATGTTTGTTTGTGCACCAAATGGCTTATATCAGCCCGAATGGACTGAATTTTAGCACTTTTGTAGGAATTTAGCCCGGTAACAAATGCTTCGAATTTTGGTGAAAATAGCTATAGCTCCCATCCTATTTTATTTAAAGTCCTTCACATGCGTAATATGCACTCCACAAAAAAGATATTTTATACCGGACATCAGATACAAATCGAAAACACCTCTGCCAAATTTTATCGAAACCATTTCAGATTTTTATATAGCTTCGATAAACCTATTCATTGCATTTTGTTCACCATATATATATAATATCAGCTCAAATTTAATAGTTTTTTTTTTATATTCAACTGAATTTTACCATATAGTGGCTCTAGAGTTACAAAAGCCCCCATCAAATTTTTTGAAAATTGATTCAGAGTTGGATATAGTTTCCAAATTATGAATATTCTAATGCCATGATACTTATTCAAAAAGGGTTCATAGTTAGTATGATCCACTTCACATAAATTCCCAATATAAACATTTTTTGTTACGGAAGCACAGAGGTGGTCCTTACTGGTTATACCCTACACCACAAGGTGGTCAGGGTATTATGTTTTTGTGCATTTGTTTGTAACAGGCAAAAGGAAACAAGATAACCCCATAGTTCCTCGTGTATTTTAATTATTATGCGGAGCTCTACTAAATTAGGAAAGTGGTGTAGGGTATCATAAAGTCGGCCCCGCCCGACTTTAAGACTTTCTTTACTGGTTTTAATTGTTTTTTTTTGTCTGGTGCCGCCAAGTTTTTAAAAAATTTGAGGGACGATTTCTATTTTTGTCCAAAATTACAAGGACCCGACAACATTGTGCGTCACAGTTTTGATAGTATTCCTTAGCTACAGCGGCTTTAAAAGTTATTGGATTTTTTAATATTTATGGACTTCCAAATATTTTTTTTTTTTTTTTTTTTGTATGGAACAAAAAAAGTCCTGGGAACTTATTGTTTGCTTACAAACATAACTTTTTAGCGCCAAGTCAAAAAATAAATTATGTTATGTTCGTAAGCACAGAATAAGTTCCTAGGACTTTTTTGTTGCAAACAAAATATATTTTTTGGAAATCCATAAAAATTAAAAAAAATCCAATAATCTCTAAAGCCGCTGTAGCTAGGGAAACATTATTTGGGCAGTATTGGGTGGACGAGCAATTTCCTTGAAATTGATGGAAAATAAAGTTCCATTTATTATCAATAAATGCTGGCAAAGGAAATGCGAAATTATTTTGCAAGTCATGTGTCGTCCTTGTTGGATCCTTTGTGGACAAAAATATATTTTTCAAAGAAATTCATAAAATCCATTAGCTCCTGCTGTGGAATTTCATTCATTGCAGAACAGGTGTATTTTGTGTTCGACACTAAAGGCCATGGTCAGCGTTTTCGCTTTTTGCATTTTTTTTCCTATTTTTATATTTTCTTCCCTGACAGTAATCTCCATTATTTTGTTATTTTCACTCTTTTTTCTGCTTTTTTCTTTCCTGCAAATACGAATAATGTCATTGTAATTGCAATAAAACGCCCTTCATTTATCGCTCATAAATAATCGACATCATCATCATCATCATTTGTTATGATAAAATTATATTTAAATGTAATTGAAATAGGGCCTTTTGTGTCCCTCCCATCAATGGCTGCCAGAAGGATATTCAATAAATAATGACATTTGTTATTTGCTTATCAAACACAACAGAAAAGGAGAGCAGAGAAAACACATAGCACAACACAAAACGTGATGACATTATTTTTCCATTCACACCGTCAAATGGCAAATGTGTTCTGTTCGTTCCGTCACTCGCTCGTTCGCTCGTCAATGCCCATTCATTAGACAATGAAGCTCTAACTAGCCAAAGACAGTTATAGTTATTGGAATTCTCAGCAGGCCATATTGTATGGTTGGTGGGTGACGATGGGCTATGAGTAGAATAAAATAAATAAATAAATTAAATGTCATAAACATAGCCAATTTGTGAGTATATATAGCGTCCATATATGGTTGAGTTCTTTGGCATTTGAATAGAAGAGGAAGCTTAGAAATGAAGAAAATTGCCTGCAAGGAACAATTTTCTCCGCTTTGAATAACGTGTATTATGTCAAAATAATAATCAGATCTTTCATTTTCTCGATTGACTGATGCACACCATAACTTTCTCGTAATATTTTTGCA